TTTAAGTATTAATTAGTCCCAACAGCTTGTATACCAAACCAAATTAAATCAAACAGTGAACTTTTTACCAAACAACTACCACCTTTTCTTTCTAAGATCTTTTTAGTTACTAAAAGCTAGCAGTTACTAAAAAGCTCATAAAAGTATCTTTTCAGATAGTTGTGCCAAACATACCCTTAGTCTGAAAGATTTAAAAACAAATTTTGAGTAGTTATTTAAAATTGATTGCAAATAAAATATATGAAAAATATTGAGTTCAATTTTTTTGGGAATAGTATTGAGTTCAATTTTTAAGTACAACTATCTAGTTCTTGACTTATAATTAAAAGAATTTAATTGAAGAATGCAAATAAGAATTTTATTATTCGATTCTTTGAATTTTGCGGGGGCTCGGATCCAATTTGGAATTTCGTGTGGCAATAGTTGAAAACATTCGGGTGTTTAAGACACAAATGTTGGCCAATTTACCAAATCGATCAAAAATATGATAATTTGACAATTTGGTAAAAATACAAGCTCTTGCAATATACGGAGTACTTATATAAAATGATGTTTTCTGATTTATATAAAATTGATATGTTGGTGTTAAGGATGACAGTTGTGACTGATTTGATGAACACTCGTACTAAATCGTTTTAGTCAAAAATAAAAACTACTATGTATTTGATTGGATAATTACTATGAATGCAGAATAACAGTTTTGTTTTTATGAGTAACGAGACGGTTATGATTTTATACATGACCGCTCCAATACAACTTATAGGCACCATACACTATACCCGACTCATCCCATTATCATATCTAGTAGGTTTTGTAAATAAAAAAAGATTTGATTCGGGTGATTTTATATAGAAAAACTGTAATCAGTTCTGTGTTAGACATGTTCCTTTTAATCAAATTATATTGAATGCAACTATATACACATTTTGAGGAATGATTTAATTTCATCCATTGTATTACTGCTCACACTTTCTATTATACCATTAGAGATGTTTTTAACAATTTTAAGCAGCTTATATTTTTTTGGGCTGGTCTGTTAAAATCTGTTTTAGTTTACTTTAGTCTGTTTAATAGATTCATAGATATATATTCTTTGTGTACTAGTCCTATTATAAACATTGCCTACAAAAAAGAAAATAACTGACACTACATCTAGTTGTGACATCGTCACATTATTTGCTCCTCCCTAATTCTCAATTCATTTATTCATGCTCATTTGATGATATAAAAAAAATTATTCATGCTCATTTATGAATTAGTTGGCATCAAAGAGCCTTTATAGTTTATAATACTACGTACCAATTTGACAATTCGTCCTATGAATGTCTATCACTTTATCAACCTATCAAGGGTTCAATTGTGTTTTTTTTACCAATTCTTTTTAACTTATATAGTATCTGCTCATTCTTGCCAATTTTTCCATTAATAAATGATTAAATGAACATGTAACGATGGTTTGGGAATAGAAATAAATATTTTGTTCGATTTTATAAAAAATAGATTCATTCAAAAAATATTTGTTTATCTTTGACTTGTAAATGAACTAATAAAATAAATATTGTCAATGAAATCTTTATAGATGAGAGAGAAATAATATGAACCGTATAATTATTATTAATATTTTAAATGGTAATATTAAAGCAATAAAGCTTTTCGGACACCTAAACAAGAAAAGTTTGTAAAATTTGTCGGGATGAGGGGATTAGTTACTATTCTAAAAGGTGTCAATAAACACTGCTAACCAACTAAGATGTGGCACTTAGAATGTTTATATCTGGACTGAAATTTGATGGTTTAGTTATGTCTACTTAAGTTTGGTCTAGTTTGATCTGAATGGTCTGATCTGATCTGATAAACTTCTGGTCTCTTTGTATTTTATAACTAAGAAATTCAGGTTTGATTTGATATCGTCTGTTTAATTCTGGTCTGATCAGTTCTGCTTTGGAACTGAAAACAGTCTAAAAATATCCTTAAAAGCTTTATAAATTAACATTAACTTAAATATAGGCTCTTCGAAATTTATAAGTTCCTACTTCCATATCATCGGACAATAGACAGAGCGAGTGGCTTTTTTGACAAGTCAAAATAGTTTAGGGATTGTAGAAAGCAAACTCAATAAGACAAATCACACTTTTTATCATTAACGTTCAATATTCTTTGTTCAAAAGAATCATTAATGTTCTTTTGGTAACATTCTTTGGATGTCTCACCTTTTGTCAAAGTTTATTGTATCCTTCCATAATAGGCCGTGCAGCTGCGCTTCAACTACAAGCTTTATGAAAATTAAATTAAAAACATGGGAAAAAGTGTTGAACAAGGGACCAAATCTTATTAAATTATGAGAAAAGAAGCAAATAAGCTCACGTACTAAACAAAAAGGTCAAATAAGTTCTTATATAGGAAGCTCTGTCCGGCCGTCGCCATTTGGCGCAGCTATCTTCAAGAATTCATTTGAATGTCTTCCCGATTGAAGTTTTAGCTGAAATTTGGTCTGAGTAAACTAGACTTAATGTTTAAGATGTTCAAAAAAAATTATCAAAAAATTCCACCGGAAACCGCTCCAAATGGCAACGGCCGGACAGAACCTCTTATATAAGGTCTTATTTGACCCTTTTTTTATTAACATGTGGGCTTATTTGCCCCGTTTCTCTTAAATTATTGATGATGGTTAGGCACTTAATTTAGACTTAGGCGTTACTACTTGGACGACAACAACAACAATCTATAAAATACTCCCTCCGTCCCAAAAAGGTCGGCCAAATTTCATTTTTTGGATGTCCCAAAAAGATTTGTCATTTCCATTTAAAGTAAGGAATATGTGGCTAAAGTTAATTCTCTTTTCTCTGCACAAATTTCATCCACACAATTTTTACTTTATTAATTCACGTGAAAGTCAACTTTGGCCAACTATTTCGGGACAGAGGGAGTATTAGATTGTTTTAAAAACCGAAAAAGATCCCCAAGTTAAATTTCAAACAAAAATTTGCATTTGAACTCATTTTCTCTCAATTGTTTTGTGATTAAAATTCAATTTACATCATCTCATATACTTATTTTGGCTTGAATTCTGGGAACCCGAGAATGGGGTCTCATTTTTGTTTGAAAATGTAAAACAGACATGGAATAGTCTATGTTGCATGGAAACATGAAATTTGGGAGGAAACGAGAAATGAGAAACTTCATCTCCTACTCGAAGAAACAATTGTTTCGTGAATTTTCAAAGAGTTTTGTAGAGTTTTTGAAATGAGAACGTACTTTTTTGGGAGAGTTTTCGCGTTACTTATGTCACAGTTAAATGAAATTGGATTGACAAATGATTCAAACCTCTGGATTTGCATAACATCATACATGAACTATACGATCGAGCATAGACATTAGTCGCGTTACGTGCTAAACATGCATATATAAGCACACTAAATCTACAAAAACGAATGCTAGAAAAAGTATGAAACAGGTACGTGTCGTGCAAGGTTGGACTAAGCGGTTTCTTGGGAGCATGTTGTCGAATTTTATTTATCTAATTTTAGTATCTAATAAGAAATGCACCAATAGGAAAAATCTCATTAATCCTTTAGATCTGAGTTTTAATCATATATAATCTTAATTAGAGTAGTCTTCCTGTCAGGACCGTCCGGAAACGGACCTCCGTACGGACCTCAATGTTTTGGCATATTCCCGGTGAAATTTTTTGATGAAACTTTTTGAGCATGTTCTTCATCAAGTCTAATTTATTCACACCAAATTTCAGCTAAAAATTCTATCGGGAAGGCAGTTAAATGATTTTTGGAAGTTAACTGCGCACTTTATATACATATAAAATGCAGTTAACTTCCAAAAATCATTTGACTGTCTTCCCGATGGATTTTTTAGCTGAAATTGGGTGTGGATAAACTAGACTTGATGAAGAACATGCTTAAAAAGTTTCATAAAAAAATTCCACCGGGAAGGGGCCCAAACGCCGAGGTCCGTACGGAGGTCCGTTTTTAGAGGTCCTGACACGAACATTTCTCATCTTAATTATACTCATTCATTTGATGAAAATCAAGTACAATCTTTCAATCTCGGGCAACACTCTAGGCAAAAGCTAGCTCGATCTTCTGCAAACAACTGGCGGGATTTGAGTAATTACAATACAAGTCATCTTAAAATGAATATTATATCTGAAGACAATTTTCAAAAGCATTTTACGAATGTTTTTACTTGGACTATTTTCAGTCTAATATTAGATCAAATCAAATCAAACTTAAATGAGATAAGGGTCAGATAGGGTCTCGAACTTGAAAAAAAATGTCAAATAAGGCCATATTTAGGATGCTTTGTCCGGCCGACGCCATTTGGGGTGGTTCCCGGTAGAATTTTTTGATGATTTTTTTTGAGAATCTTATTCATTAAGTCTAGTTTACTCATATCAAATTTGAACTAAAACTTTAATCGGGAAGACATTCAAATGAATTCTTGAAAATAACTGTACCGTTAAAAGCGCAGTTATCTTCATGAATTCATTTGAATGCCTTCCCGATTGAATTGTTAGTTCAAATTTGATATGAGTAAACTAGACTTAATGAATAAGATTCTAAAAAAATTTCATCAAAAAATTCCACTAGGAACCACCCCAAATGGCGTCGGCCGGACATAGCATCCTAAATATGGCCTTATTTGACATTTTTTTCAAGTTCGAGGCCCTATCTGACCCTTATCCCAACTTAAATAGTCAGACGATACTATATCAGATCAGACCAGACTTTCATAGTTATAAAGTATACAGAAACCATACATTTGTCATACCCTATTAGTTCAAATAAGATCAGACCATCAAATTTAATTTCAAGAAAAATATCCTAAATTATCTAAAAATTAAAATAGTTTCAGGTCAAATGCTCTTTCACTCGTTTCTGTTTCTAGCCGTGCTAGTCAAGAGTCAAGACAGGATATACAGTATCAAAAAATAGAGTTAGGGGCCCAGTCCAAAAAATAATTCAGCCCAGTCCAGTCCCAAACCCTGGAGAAACATGGTTCCTTGGTTCTTCTATTTATTCTTTTCTTCCTGTCAATGCGGAAACGTGAGAGGTGAGACTTGCTAGCCCCGCTCACCGTGTCCAGCCATCCTTGCCGGGCTGCCCATGCTGTCCCGCTCTAATGCTCCATTCTACCGGTTACTCCACTTAGCGGCCTAGACCCATTAAACCTTAGTCAGCCGCAGGGTAAGTTATTAACCTTTGTAATTTTTTAAATTTCAATTTTATTTTACTAAATTGTGGTATAATTTTTTCATGTTTGAAAGGGTTAATAGGTTATAGATGAATTACTTGTGTAGTTGTCTGATATCATTTATGAATTGAAATCTAGATTTGCAAATTTCGAAACATAATAACGTAGTAATAATATATGAATTATGTGATTGAAAACACTACATGATGGAGTATAATTCCAAATGCTAGAGCAGGGGCCAAAACAGGTCAGGCCTGTACATGTTAGTTAACTAAGGATGTTTTCTTTTGGACTGTTTTCAGTCCCAGATCAGACCAGACTTAAACAGATCAGACCGGACCAGACTTAAACAGACCAGACTAGACTTGGACAGTTATAGAATTCAAAGAGACCATACGTTTATCAGATCAAACTAGACTAGACTTAAACAGACTAGACCAGACCAACAAATTTCAGTCCAAAAGAAAACATCCTAATAAGGGTAATCCTATACTCGCGTGCATAGTTAAGTTAATGAAAAAGGAATGTACACCATAATCTTTGTCTCAGTTTGGCAGATTAGCTACAAGATGCATTTCCCAAAACTGTCAAATTTTGTGTTAAATAAGAAAACAGTGTTTATAACCATTGGGCACTAATCATTACTAAAACTCGTATATAATAAAATAATAATAGTAAGAGTATGAAAATAGAAAGAGTAATGCAGCATTGCAGTCTAGCATATGTTAAACGGTAGTATATATTTAGGCAATTATGCTCTCTGTCGTCCTATAAAAAGAATGAAAATAAATATATATGTCCAATTGTCCATATGATGTTGATACAAATGCATTATAAATAGAAAATACTTCGTATTACTCAAACATCAAGCTTCTGAAATTTTGACTAAAATCTTAGGTTTGTAAAATATTAGATAGTCAATTATTTTTACTTATAAAAGGTAAATATATAATAAAAGTAAGTATATACTCAAATATTAAGATTCTTAAATATTTGGCTATCGGTTAACCAATCGAATCATAATTTCAAAATTATAATCATACCACAAATTGTTTTTTCTTTCAATCGATTAACTGTACTACGAGTTTTAAAAGGTTCTATTCAGTTAACAAAAAAATTAGTTTTTCAGTTCCTTTTTCTAATTGTTATCCACACTATCTTACGCGGCCCGCCCTTTCAAATACCTTTTATAATTATAGTATACCATAATAGACATATTGATTTCATAATTTCTTTATCGGGAAAAGATCTCGCACCGATATTACCGCGAGAGAAAAACTATTGCAGAGAACTGTAGAGAGTGCCTAATATGTTGAAAGAGGGGGTCAATGAAAAGTTTTCAAGGTTACTTTAGAAGAAAGTAATGCTCGGGGATTGCCCTCAGGGGTCTATGGTTTCAAGATACCAAACGAACTTGGTAGTATAAAGCTACTTTTGGTATTAGATTAATTATATTTTACTAATGATACGTTTAGATTGTTGTTTTTTCTTCAATTGAATTCTTATCATTATTCTTAATATTATTATTTCAAGCTGAAATTGGATGTCTCCAAAATGTTCAGTACGCCTCTATCGTTGAACTAGTGAGGTTCTCCAAGCTCCCACTTGAAAAAAGTGAATTAATGGTAACAAAATGGACTGCAGGAGGAAGTTTGCATGCGTATTTGTTAGACAAAGAGGTAGACTGGCCTGTAGTTCGAAAAATTCTGAGGGCAATCGTGTATGCTTTGCAACTTATTCATCACACGTGATATGCAATGATAGATTTGGATCCGAAAAATATTGTCCTGGATTAGAGAAATTCAATTCATTATCCTTTTTATTTAAGAGATAAATGTTAATTGAACTATTCTGCCATAAACAATATCAATAGACAACCGTGGTACATAACTTTTTAGATTGTAAGTTAGGGGCAACTTTGGTTTTGCCCGCTTTTGACTTTAGGAAATGTTATTTAACTTTAGCATGAGTTCTTAATATTGCATGATATGTCATAAAAGCATACTATCTTAAGATTGAATGGACTACAGCTCAATCGTATAAATAGTAAAATAAGGATATAGTACTTTAGCAGTTTAGCCAACGGTATAAAATCATATTATCTTAAGATAATGTGCTTTTACGACAAAACATGCAATACTAACAACTCATGCTAAAGTTACAGATTTTTTCCTAAAGTCAAAAGAGGGCAAAACCAAAGTTGCCCCTAACTTACAATTTAAAAACATTATGTACTACGGTTGTCTATTGATATCCTTTATGACAGAATAGTTTAATTAACACTTATCCCTTAAAATAAAAAAAGGTATTGAATTGTATTTACTTCATCCAGGACAATATTCTACGGGTCCAAATCCATCATTGTATATCTCGTGTGATGAAAAAGTTGTAAAGCATATGTGATTTCCCTCAGGATTTTTTGAACTACCGTTCAGTCTATCACTTTGTCTAACAAATATGCATGCAAACTTCCTTCCTGCAGCCCATTTTGTTACCATCAATTCGGCACCTAACGGGTGTTTGGAGAACCCACTAGTTCAATAATAGGGGGAATTGAAGACTTTGGAGATATTAAATTTCACCCTGAAATAATAGTAATAACAATAAGAATTGAATTGAAGAAAAACCAACAATCCAAACCTATCATTAGTAAAATATAATTCGTTCAATACCAAAAATAGCTTTGCACCATCAAGTTCGTTTGTATCTTGAAACCATAGGCCCCGGAGGCCACTCCCTAAGCATTACTTTCTTCTAAAGTAACCTTAAAAACTTTTCCTTGACCCCCTCTTTCAAAATATTCGGCACTCACTGGAGTTTTCTCCAATAGTTTATTCTCTCGCAGTAATACCGGTGCGAGATCTTTTTCTGATAGAGAAATTATGAAATCAATATGTCTATTATATTACGGTATACTATAATTATAAAATGTATTTGAAAGGGTGGAGAGCGTAAGATATTGTGGATAACAATTAGAAAAACGAATTGAAAAACTGTTTTTTTTGTTACCTGAATAGAACCTTTTAACACTCGTGGTATAGTTAACTGATTGAAAGAAAAAAATAATTTCTGGTACGATTACGATTTTGAAATCATCATTCCATCATTTAACCGATAGCCAAATATTTAAGTAGTTTGATAATTGAGTATATACTTATTTTTAATACATATTTACCTTCTATAAATAAAAATAATTGACTAGCTAAATATTTCCCAAGCTTGAGATTCTAGTCAAAATTCAAGTCTATCAAATTGTGCAAAAGTTCTAAGCTTGAAAAGATTTTGATATAGATGTTGAAAAGGTTGATGCTATGAAAGAGAAGTATTAGTTAATACGAACCAAATTTTAACTAAGAGAAAAGGGTCAAGTTAGGCCTTCTACTATTATGAAATCGTCACATAGGGTCATGTACTCAATAAAATGTCATATAGATACGTCTACTTGTAATAAGCAATCAAATGAGTCCTAACGGCCCGTTGACAACCTCTTAATCCCGATTTTAGCTTACATGTTGACTTTTTTTTACTTGTATTTCAACCAATCTTAGTTAAATATTCAACGTTTGTCGTATAATCTATTCTAAAAAGTATGTTAAAATCGGGATTAAGAGGTTGTCAACGGGTCATTAGGACTCATTTGATTGCTTTTTACAAATAGACGCATCTATATGACACTTTATTGAGTACATGGTCCTATGTGACAATTTCATAATAGTAGAAGGCCTTATTTGACCCTTTTCTCTTTAACTAATTACATAACAACTATTAAGAAGAAGCCATTGCGGAGATGCAAAGAGAAAACTTGCAAATCTAAAGAGTGCTCACTGATATTTTTATTTTTATTTTCAACAACTTATGCTTTTTTTGTTTAAAGAACCAAATGTTTACTAACTTGCCAGGTTTATTGTTTCCTCAGTCATGGTGATTATTTGGTTAATTGTTTTGTGTTAAATGAATTTTGGTTAATGGTATAGACAAAATAGTTAATAGTATAATTAATACCATTAATTAGGTTTCCATATTAAATAGGTTTCCTATTGTAATCAGGACATATTTATTATATATATGACATCTAGAGTTTCCACTTTGGTAAGCCTGTCATATTCTCACATGATATCCAGAGCTCTAGGTTTTAGCCAATCTTAATTTTTTTTTCGATCCTATGGCTTCCCATAACTCTATCGCTGCCGCCTCTTCAATCGTTGAGCGCGATTGAAATGCCGCAAATCTCACCTGCTTCGCAGACGACGCCGTCTGCTTCGTGGATGACACATACATCCATTCTCTAACCGAGTCTAGTTCGGCTGCTCACACAGTTGTTATAGAGCGTTACACCCGGTCTTGCTCTCTCCGACGACCCTGACATGATCCCATCGTCTTCTTTCGGGCCAGTTGGTCGTCGTCCAGGATCCTCTCTGTTGCCCACTTTGTTCACTGCTCTTGCTCAAAGTATCTTTAGGGGTCTCCAGATCATGGACAGTACTGGCAGCCTACTCTGACATACATTGGACATCCGGTTGCAGATCTACGTCACGGTTTGTTGTATTTCTTGGTCCTAATATAGTTTCTTGGAAGTCCAAGAAACAACCTACTTGCTCGTGGAGATCTTATTGTCAAATATGTGTCTCTTAGTCTTCAGATGTCGGATGTATTTAATAAGAAGAGTCTTTCTAGTCAGCAATTTCAATTTTTTTAAAAGACAAATATGATTTAGATTTCTCCATCATATCAACGCCTAAATATTGCTTCACTCATGCTTTGTCAACGTTTTAGTTTTCTCCTAGTTGGGTGAATTTTTTCCACTTAATTGTTACTTCATATGATTTAGATTTTCTCCACATATCAATGCTTAAATATTGCTTCACTCATGCTTTGTGAACATTTGACATTATTTGACATTTAGTTTGCCTCTTTTCCCTTCTAATAGGAGCATCTCCAACGCTCTCTTTTAACGGAGTGAAAATTTGCCACATATTCGAGTTTTAAAAGTGTGATCGCTTGTTTAATCTCCAATGCATTCTTTCATTTGCCTTGTTAAGCTGACATGGAACTAATACTTTTGAACCCACTTTCGAATTCCAGAAAGCATGTTAAACATGCTGACTCATCTAAATTAAACCAACTTTTGTGTTTTACCCGTATTATGTCGCACATAGTAGAGAGAAACTGCATGTTCATACATATATACACGACATATATATACATAAATATTTATATATACTTATCATTATCTTTTATAAAAGAAGACATGTGTCTTCCTGCCATCAAACCCTTGTTGATTTTTTCTATGAATTTCAAATTAAAAATTCTTTTCGTATGGATCCGAATTTACATATTCACTCATACGTATTTATCTTGGTGTAAATATTTCATATTGACTAGTTTTCTCTCCTTATGCTATAGAAGAATTTATCTATAATTATTTTTCTTTTAATTTGGTTCATTGTATTCATCCAATATATTTGCAGATTTTACGGAGCATAAAATAAATGACGCATGGATAACTTCAGGTTGTTAACATTATGCATTGGGAGTCATTTATGCCTTTCTTTTAATTTGTATATTATGTGGATCAACATTGCTCTCTTCTATTGACATTTGGCAAAATTTTGTTCCCGTTAAAAGAAGAGCATTGAAGATGCTCTAAGAGGTTTGAGTAATTAGTGGTGATAGATGGATATATGCATGTGGGTAGTAAGATAACAACTTATATAGCGAAACTGGGAAAAAGAAGATAACTTATTTAGCTGCTAAATAAGAAAATATCTTATTTAGCTACTAAATAAGAAAAAAACTTATTTGGCTGCTAAATAAGAAAAGGTTAATTTTATTTAGGGACGAACAACAACAACAACAACATCTAAGCCTTAGTCCCAAAAGATATTGGGGTCGAACAAAAAAAGAAAAATTGGAATGTTGTTTAGGAATTTATAGAATATATTTTGACACTTATTTCTATCTTAACTACTTTTTTACCAAAGTACCCCAAAACAACTATTAACTTTATTGTGGAATCTAGGGAGTAGTATGTAGGTTGACAAAATAGGCTTTTCTTATAATTTTTTTCCTTATAGAATGAATATGTGTCTTATATGTAGGTATGTATCCTGATTGCTTTACGTTTGGGAGTATTCTGAGAAATTCATTTGGATGTTATAGAGTCGATGGACTTATGATTATTGGCAGTATACATGGCATCATTGTTCAATTGGGGTATGAGTCTAATAATGTGCCTATTGGATCTCTAGTTGATGCCTATGTGAAGTATGGGAACTTAGCTGGTGCAAATCGTCTTTATAGAAGTATGAAGAAGATAGATATCATATCATGCTCTGCATTAATTATGCGATATGCTCGTCAAGGTAAAGGCATTGATGGATGCATGAATCTCTTTTTTGAGTTGAACCGATTGCACGTGGAAATTAATAGTGTAATATTGTGCTCAATGCTTAGTTTGTGCTCTAAATCAGCATTATTGAGTCTAGGAAGGCAGGTGCATACTCTTACGTTGAAATATCAAAATAAACATGATGTAGCCTTGGGAAACTCTTTGATTGCCATGTACACAAAAGCAGGTGAGATTGAGGCTGCTAAGAGAATTTTTCATCACATGGAAGAGAAGAATGAAATCTCATGGACATCAATGATATGGACATCAATGATATCTGGATATGGTGTGCATGGCCATACTGAGAACGCAATTTCTCTTTACAAGAAGATGGAACTGCAAGGAATTTATCCAAATCATATCACGGTCTTGTCCCTTTTCTCTGCGTGTAGTCATACTGGCTTGACTTCTCAAGGCTGGGAGTTCTTCCACAATATGGTTCGAAAATATAAGATTTGCCCATTGTCGAAGCACTATGCTTGCATGGTAGACCTTTTGGTACGTGAGGGTTGTTTGGAAGAAGCCCATAGTTTGATATGTAGGGAGAAAGTTAATCCGAGTGCCTCTCTTTGGGGATCACATCTTGGGGCGTGTAGTGTGCATGAACATATGCATCATGGAGAGTTAGCAGCGAAGAATTTATTTAGTATGAACCCCCAAGAGCCTGCCAACTATGTTGTCTTGGCTAACATATACGCATTGGCAGGTTTATGGTGAAGGGCCGCCGATACACGGGAATTGATTGTTAATAGGAGGTCACGGAAGAATCCTGGTCATAGTTTTGTCCTGTCAAACAATATCACTTCTTCCCGCTGGTTGGTATAAAGGTCTGTGAGGATTTCAATGTATTCGATTCCAGATATGGTATTTTTATGCATTTATACATCGTGCTTAATGATTGAGCATTTGAACTGCCTTTAGCGGTTAGCTTATACAAAGTATATCATTTTCATTTTCATTTACCTACATGGGGTAAGGGGAGGTCGGATGTACGCAGGCTTACCCCTGTACTAAAGTTCAGAGAGATTGTTTCCGGATGACTCATAGTGAAAATCGCATCCAAAATTGCATGGACTGACTGCTGCTTCATAACAAAGAAGCGCAGACACTTTAGTGAGCCATTTTGCTTTACTCCATCATATTTGTCAAGCCAAAATATAATAAATCTTTGGCTCCATTGCAAGTGATGGAAAAGGTTAGCCTATATATTCATCGTGCTTAATGATTGAGCATTTGAACTACCGTTAGCAGTTAGCTCTTATATACATGCAATTTTGAACTTTCGTGCAGAAAAAGAAAGGATAAACTCATAAAAGGCCAGAGCTAAGGAGCACCTTGACTTGTTTAATGTTGCTGCTAGTCAACCTAAAGTTCCATCTCGTAAATTATCTCTTTGTGTTTACAAATGGTATTATTTTTTATCTAATCAAGTTACATTTTATAATGAAATTATAAAATCCATTAAAAGCCCATAAGCTTTTATTATATACATCTCTTAGTCCTTTTACTCATGTGCTAATCTTATGGTGTTAATTGTGTAGCCAAATGTAATATAATGGTCTGGTGACTGGTGTGGATCCAAATCAATATTGTGTGAGTTCTACAAAGCTGGGAAATGTACAAAGGATTTCAAGTGGAAGTTCTCACACGATCTGAATATACAAAAAAAGGAGAGAAGATTGTCATTTGCATATAAATGTGATCATGGTGATTTTCTTTTTATTTTAAAGTATTTATTTAGTTATTTCTGCTGGATGTAACTTTGTTAATCTCCACATTTCATTTTAATTTGTTTTTGTTGTTTATTTGCTGCCTTCTTTTACAGTAAAAAAGAAATAGCGGAGGATCTGGAGTTTGGGGCCAAGAGACTTTTGAGGAGTTTGTGGCATAAAAAGTGAGGAGTACAGCAAGAACCAATCAAGTTTCAGGGTCCACTATTACCTTGTGTTTTGCTTTTGTGTTGTCCACATCTATTATAGATAAGTTGGGAAAAGGGGTTATATTTTACATTGGGGGGGGGGGGGGCTCTTCCCATGCTTTGTGTGATTGTTTACCTCAAATGAGACAAATATAAATCAAATAAAAAGATTAAATTGTACCCATTCAGGTAGCTCTTTTTTATTCCAACGTAGACCTCACATGTTGCTCCTAGTTAAAAGATCTTTCCATATGACTTGAATGAAATGAGTGGGATTTCTCAGGAAGAATGTAGAGGTATCATCATTCGTAGTTCTCATGTGCAGGTTTGTAAATACTTTTTGGATGCTGAGGAGAAGAAATGAATGGATGGTTTTGGGTCTGTCGAAATTGTGGTAAACACTGTCACTATAGATATACTCTTCCTCCAGGGTATGTTCTGAAATCAATGAGGAATAGATTAATATTTTGAAAGCAATGGTCTGCAAAATATGGAAGGGTAAGTTTTAGAGTTGTAATGTACTTCAAAACGCTAATGGAAAACAGTTCAGTTTTCAGCGTTTTGGATTTTGTGGAGAAATTGTGGCCACAAAATGGAGCAAGAGCTGGAGATGCAGTGAGATCGCGGGCAAGATCCATGGGTTGAACTACCTTTAGGCAGATTGATTGAAAAAGGTGCACTGAGGAATGATTGGGCAGGCCGTAGATGGGGGTTTCTTCCAGCGATGGAGTGCAGGCACGACAGAAACGTTGATGTTTGTGTTTTGAAATAACTCCCAGCTAAAATTGTCTAAAAAAAAGTTAATCCCACTTAGTTATATGAATATGTATCTTTTGTTCATAAAAAAGGTTTTCACACCTTACCTAATATTAGCAACTAGCTTTTCAGCCATTATTTTCACGAATGAATGTTTTTGGCTAAAGGGTCAAATAGGCCCTTGAACTGACTTAAAGTGTTCAATTAGCCTCTTATATAGGAGGTTCTGTCCGGCTGTCGCCAATTGGGGCAGTTCCCGGTGGAACTTTTTGATGAAATTTTTTGAGCATCTTCTTTATTAAGTCTAGTTTACTCATACCAAATTTCAGCTAAAAATTCAACGGGGAAGGCATTCACATGATTTTTTAAAGATAACTGCGAAGTTAAACAACACAGTACATTTCGGAAAATCATTTGACTGCCTTCTCGGTTGAATTTTTAGTTGAAATTTGGTACGGGTAAACTAGACTTGATGAAAAAGATGCTCAAAAAATTTCATCAAACTAGAATATTTTGCACGGAAATTGGGAACACATAACACATTGATGTTTGTGTTTTGATTTTTGAAATAACTCCCAACTAAAATTGTCTTAAAAAGTTTTAATCCCTATTAATTATACGAATATGCATCTTATGTTCATAAAAAAGGTCAAAAGATAAGAAGTGGCAGACATGGGGTAGAAACTTTCTAGTGCTGGACTCGGGCCGGGCGGCCCGAACCGGAACCGGCCCGGCCCGGTTACTGTGTGAACCGGACCGGCCCGGTGGCCCGGTCCACCGGCGGTTCGGGCCGAACTGGCCCGGTGGATACCGGTTCCGGGCCCGGGCCCTATATTTGGTGAACCGGCCCGGCCGGTTCGGGCCCGGTCCGGGCCGGAATAATTTTTTTTTTAATTTTTTTTTGAATTTTTTTTAATTTTTGGGTTGGATTAGGTATTTTGGGCCATTTGAGGTGGTTTGGGGTGGTTTGGGGTTGAGGGGGAGGGGTAGGGGGTTAAATAAGAGAAGCCAAAAAATCAAAAAAAAAAAGGGGGCGGGTGAACCGGCCCGGAACCGGCCCGGTCTGGCCCGGAACCGGCCCGGAACCGGTCACCTGCCGGTTCGGGCCCGGGCCCTCCTTTTGGTGAACCGAGGTCCGGCCGGTTCAAGGCCCGAACCGAGTCCAGCACTAGTAGAAACAAGTCCCTCTCCATAATGCACTTTTCCACCATGTCTTTAGATGAATGCATGAATCAGAACAAAATAAATCGAGGCCATAGATTCATAGAAATGTAACTATGGCTTCCATTAAATCTTCCTTACATCAGAGTGTCCTCGAAGTCTGCTAAACATATTGCCATCATAGTATGTGGTTGAAGTGTTTTTGCTGCAAATGGACCTCACCATGATGAGATTGTTTATGTTTGACCATTGTAGAATGGTTATTGATGATGTCATTCAACTGATTTTGAGTGTAAATTTTTAATCTTTTAAAATTTAGACACAAGAATGATGATATTTAGCCACACAATCTTATGATCTGGAATCACATAAATAATAGATTGTCCTTGATGAGTGAGAGAGTGGGATTTAGTTGAAATTACGTATGTTATTTGAATAATTTGATGATCTGTTATTCCTTGATATTGAGCAAAGAAGATACATTTGGTTGCAAAATTGGTTTTTTAAACCTAGGCGTGAGTTATTTACTGATTGATGGTGAATGCCTTCAATCTAAGTTTAAATTAACCATATAACAAATGAGTTGATTCAATCTTCCCTTTTTTTCACGTAGTACAAGGAATAGGAGCATGCAATGCCAAAAGAGAAATTAAAGATGCTGAAATGAATATTTAGGGGTGTTTCAATCCGATTCTTAAATATGTTTCAGTTCCTTTAGGGAGTAGAAACAGGAGTTGGAGTGTTTGAGTGAAAGTGCAGAAGTGATTCCGGTGCTCTAATTTACTCCTAGAATCAGTTTTTTTTAAAAACTGTGGGAGACGAGCTTTTGAAAACTTATTCTGATTATGATTCTACTTTAAAAAAGAAGCAATCTGTTTGTTTTTATAATACTAGATAGTCAATTTATATCTTTAGACTTTAAATTGAATTGAACAACTTCGGATAAATTATATCTATTGGTAAAATAGTCTAATTATTGTTCAAACATATTTAAACATTTAACTTACCAAAAGGATAACATGAATATGCACATAAGAGAACTAAATGGAGATTTGTTAAATACGGAGTGCTATTTTTGTCATTTATAATTTTGTCATCTTTTTTCGTAGTTTTAAAATTTTTCATTTTCTCTTCCAATCAATTATTTTGTGGTTCATGTTATTTATTTCTCTTCTACACAAATTTCAATTACACAGTTTTTACATTATTATTTTTCATGTTGACCAATCTTGGCAAAATTATAAAGGATAGAGAGAGTACTATCGTTATGTTAGTTTGAGTAATTTAAAGTCTCAATGAATCATATGGTTGTAATTTTATTAAAAAATTTAATTGTAAAGTAATTTAGTCGTGAAAAGTTGTTTCAAAATGTACATTTTCTTTCATTCTTACTCATATTGGTTATAGATTTATAGGTGATGAAAATTAAAATACCAAGAATTTGAGATGTGAATATATTTTATGTATTATATATACATGAATAATCGATAGTTGACCTTATTATAAGCAGATTACTAATTGTTGAGACTATTATTCTCATTCTTTCCCTTGAAATATTTTAAAATGTGGAATATGATAAGCATGACAAATATGGAAATTTGATCATCCGATGATATTTTTTTAGTGTAACTGCAAAACCCTGCTTTGCTATTACATTCCCGTTAACTCAGTATCACATGTCTAACGCCACATTCAATTTTCTCCGAATCCGTGCTTGCTGTTGTTTCGCTTCCGCTCGCCAAAAAACGGTTTAAGCCTTAATCTTATAAGGGAAAGTTCCCGAAATAGGACTAAAACAGTTTAAAAATTCCTAAATAGGTCTGACATGTTTTTTATTCCCAAAATAGGAGTAATTACTGCTAAGTTTGGAAAATACTGCCATGTTTGAAGTACTGCCAAAAAATGACAGTAATTAGTCCTATTTTGGGAATAAAAACATGACAGTCCTATTTTGGAATTTTAAAACATTTTAGTCCCATTTTGGGTAATATCTCATCTTATAATTCAAAGAAATCGTTCTCAAAGACACCTTTAGTTTCAACACCTTAATTAGTGTTTGTAATACACTTCACTTTTAGTTGCTAATTTTTTTATTAAACTGAAGGTATTATTGAAGATTTCAATCAAATAGAAAAACTAGTCACCTGTAAATGTCCTAAAGCATTATCGGCACTTGGTATTCTAAGAACTTTCAAAGACTTTTAGTATTAAATAAAATGTAGGTCGTTAGAAACTTGAAAACATGTATTTGTGTTCTTTCAAATTAGAGAGAATATGTGTTGTACTATTTTTGGCGTTTAAAATTAAGTTTACATACTATAATAGTTCTGCAGTCCATGAGGGAATAATAGCAAATATAATGTCAATTTAGAATTTCAAATTTAGGGGACAAATTTTTGCAATCAAAAATTCAGAAAGTCTGAAACTAAACCTTTGTTGGTTTACTTTCTTTCCTATTCACTTGGAGGGGTGCAGCAGATATATGAACATTTATATAATTTTGTTCAGATTACCGTAAGTACTGGAAGTATTGTGGAGCAGGTGTTTGGACACAATTAGTGTTTAGAATCACAGTTTTATTGTCATTCACTTATCTTCAAATGACCTTACAAGTACAAAGCAATTAAGGCAATTGTGTAGTCTTGAATAATACATTTGGCATTTACTCCTGGTAATTCTTTTCCTATTAAAGTAGTAGTGATTTTTTTGAGATTCACAGCAGTATTTTCATTGTAACAGGTTGCACACCCTTTTGCCGATTGTGTGCCTGCGGTTTTAATTTTGTGCAAACCATCTCAAAAACCAGATTAAACCAGCAAGTGTCTTTGTTTGGTGTGAGTTCAAAATACAGACTAACCCGCCACAGCATGTTTAAATGCCTAGCAACATCAAGGCATCAAGGTATATTTGAATAAATAGAGAAAATTAAATAAAAGATACAAATTAAATATACCTAAATTTAGAAGTAAACAACAAACGTCGAAGCCTTAATCTCAAAAGATTTTGGGGTAAATTGAGAAGTAAACAAAAAATGTAATTCCTAGATATGTATACTATTAAATATTAATTATTTTCCCTGCATAGAGAACTGCAGACCATTATGAATTGCATTAAAGTCCAAACTGTATCAATATTTAATTTTTAGTCACCGTAATTCTTTTAAAGAAAATAACAGTTCTTCAATTTAAACTAGCTCACAAATTTTAATCTCGGCTTATTAGTAGTTATTATGATTAAACTTCCACAACGGATTAGAATCACAGTTTTATTGTGATTCACTGATGTGCAATTAGTTTCAATGTGAGTGCTTTGAATCTCAATAAATTCAATGTTTCCTTGATAATAATAAAAAAGACTTAACAGGTCAAAATTTCAGTTGATCTAATTTTCCATATTTTCCTTAAGAGCTAACATACTAAAATTGAACTCCCTTCTACTAATTCCAAAGTGCTGAAGAGATACATTAGAGTGTTTCTGTGTTGAGTTTTCTATTTTCATTAATGTTACTCAAAATTAACTACTAACATAGTAACTCGTTACTCTTCATATGTAATTACATATCTCACCTTCATAACTTTATTTAAAAAATTTAAATACCTGAATGCATTTATTCAATACTCACAGATTTAACAGTAAAGTCACTTCATTATTTACTGAAAATTGGGACTGAACAGCTTTCTTGTTATTTCGCACAAACATACCACCTTTACCAACTTAAATTAACAGCCTGGCTTACCATACTCCCGATAATGAATCTGGCAGGATTGTACTTGTGCAATTTCTTTATTTAAGTTTGATATTATATTCAACATTTTAAATAGTTTGTTTTTTACTTCTTGAGGGAGTACTTTAGGATATTAAATACAATAAATAAGAAAGGCTTACCTTGATGGCCTTGAATTTAAGACTAATTCTTATTACTCCCTCCGTATTCTTTTGTTTGCTACAATAGGTGTTGACACATTTTTTTAAGAGTGAAATAGTAGGGGTAATGAATAGTGTAGAAAAAATAAGAGGTATGGTGGAAAAGTATGAAAGAGAAGATATAAA